ACCCTTTGTAGTGAGATATTTTAGTGGAGTCTATTGTTTGGAGCTTCGGAATAAGTTGGCTTATACTTCCCAAGTTTTATTTCGAGTAAACGACTATGCTAGTTCAAATCATCAAATATTTCCCTTAACCTACGATATATACAAATTCCTCTGCTCGAGGATTTTAATTATCTTTAACATGCAACTGTTCTTTCATATGAAATGTTGCAATCTTGCTTTTGTTCATGATCTCCTTAAGAAATGAAATCGCTTGCCAACTCCCAAAGGCAGTTATTTCAGATATAAAGACCAAGATGTGGCCTCTGTTTTGGTTGCAGTCTCTTTTAACTGTATAGAAGTGTTTTGACCTCGTTTTCTCAACTTGGTCGTGTTGTTAGGGGGACCTAGTTGAGCTAAACTTGTTTAACGTTCTCTGCTGTAGTAGTTATGACAATTTCCACCGTCGGACAGTTGACTTGGTACATTCCCAGACGTTTTGCCGGCATCGTCAGTGAGTCTTGCCATTCTCATCTCCCAACTACAACTCACAAACATTCTGCTGAACGGCTGTGTTACCACCCATGTTCTGGTATATCTACATACTCCATATCCTCGTATCTTACTCCCTATCACAACTTCTGACTTGTTTATATTCACCTCATCTATACGTATGACCCTTATAAGCGAGTTTAGTGGGGCGTTGTCGCATTCGCCTGTTTACCTTACTCCTATTCCCTCTCGATTTGCCGGAATTGCTGATCCGGCTTGGACTTTTTATCCTAATATCCCTCTGCCCCAGAGATTCATTTTACTGGTTGACTGATTTCACTCGGTCTCATTCACAGTATTCGTTTTACCCAACACATCACTGCTCGTGGTCTGTCATAAACCGATTATGCTACATTGCCACTTTATTTGCTCTTTAGACTCGCTTCGGTTGTTTTGTTATTGCTGTCATATTCTCGTAATTTCTTAAATCTGGTAACTTTTTGGTTCGTCATGCATGAGTTATTTCTGCTTGTTTTACACACTATTGATGAATTAGGTTCATGTGTTTGATTATTCTCCATTAATTCATTGCTTGCTGGTTGATTTGTCACTGCTATTTTCTCAGTTTTCAAAATCTATATTTCATTTCCCTATTTTTTAATGCTACTTCATCTGGAACGTGTGTCAGCTCAGCCTTGAGATGCTCTCCTTTTTGGCCCACGAAGCTTCTTGTCTTCATGCGTCCAGTTTCACTCCACCAGGTTTTAATCAAACCGATCCCGTTCCTCTCGAGGCAGTTGGTAACCGAAGCAGCAAATCCCCCCCAACTAATGTTGTTCCACTTTTATGCCATAGTCAGACTCCTGTTGATTCACTCAAGAGCACTGATGAATACAGTTATCAGTCATCCATCGATGCTCAACATGCGTTCATTATGAAGCTCCAGGAGCTGGTTGATCAGCTAAAGCAAGAAAAGGTTGGTTGTACTTCGTCTGCCATATTCCACCATTATTACTGACTAATGATACTCTCCTAGTACACTTCTTAAGGGGTGGGTTATTTAATAGAAATCTGGAACTTCTTAATGCGCAAGAAGGCGAATAGTTAAGAGTTATGGACATAGATAAACCCGATATAGCTGGCAGGAAGAATTCATTGATATGCGTTTATTCTTAGGTATAGATTGAGCTTATAAGGTCAGATGGCTAATTAGCCAATTACTGAGAAAATATCAAAATAACTATTATTGTATACTCTCCTGGTTTCTTGCTCATCAGCACAGAGGATATATTCTTGGCATACCTTTTTATTTACTTTATGTGTGTTAAAGCAATCGGTAGATCTTGAGTCAGGGCTTTAGTCTACCTTTGTCGCTGAATATGATATAAGGAGGGATAGTTGAATTGTCCACAACGTAATAAGTGGATCTCATTTTTAGGGTATTTCACATATGCTTGCCTCCCATAAAGTTTATCCTGATTTTTTGAGACATTCATACCTTAGATAATAATGTCA